TGGCTCAGGACAGGGCAGGCTTCAGAGGTGCTATACATAGGGTTACTATGGGTCACAGGAGACTTGATGGCACATAGCAACAACACAATAGCCAGTTAGTGATTTTTCCCTCCTGTCTTGGTTGCTGCCTTGAACCCATTGAAGAATTTGTGTGTAAAATTAACTTTTACTTTTCATAATAGAGAACAGAGCAGGGAAACATTGCATGGTTCAGAATTGGGAAGGGTGTATGCCAGGAATGTGTCCTATCTTCATACCTTTTCAATCTTTACGCAGAACAGATTATCTGTGAGGCTGAGCTCTATGAGGAGAAATGTGGCATCAGGATTAGAGGTAGACTCATAAACACTCTGCGTTATGCAGATGACACAACCCTGCTTGCTGAAACTGAGGAGGACCTGAAGCGCTTGCTCCAGAAGGTCAGGGACTATAGCCTTCAGTATTGATTGAAGCTCAATATTAAGAAAACAAAGATTCTCACCACTGGGCCAATTGGCAGCATCATGATGAATGGTGACGAGATTGTTCACAACTTTAGTTTGCTTGGCTCCACAATCAACACTCTTGGCACCATCAGCCAGGTAATGAAAAGACGTATTGCAATGGGAAGTCTACAGTTAGAGACCTGTCTTAAAGTACTGAAGAGCAGACTTGTTAGCCTGGAGACCGAGGTGCTCCTTATACAGGCCATGGTCTTTGCAATCACTTGGTACGCATCAGAGAGCTGGACAATCACTAGGGATAATAGAATGAGAATTGATGCCTTTGAGCTGTGGTGTTGGAGAAGAGTATTGAGTGTACCATGGACTGCTAAGAGAATGAACAGGTTTGTCCTAGAGAGGGTGAAAAGACGCTGCTCCTTGGAGGCAAGGTTTCTGAGGCTTCATCTGACATACTTTGGACATGTTGCAAGGAGGGACAGGTCCTTGGAGAGGGACATCATGCTTGGGAGGGTGGAGGGACGGCGCAGGAGAGGAAGACCCTCAATGAGATGGATTGATTCGGAGACTGGGGTAATGGGAGTAGGTGTGTCAGAGATAGTGAGATTGGCACAGGATAGAGCAGCATTTAGGGCTGTTGTATATAGGGTAGCTATGAGTTGCAGGCGACTTGACGGCACTTAACAACAGACTTACATAGGTATTTGTCCTTTTATGATAAACTTGTTTTACTCAATATACTGTTGTCAAGTTTCATCCATTGCTATGAAGTCTTTCTTTAATGTTGTATAGCATTGCATTGTATCTGTCTACCATAATTATCTGTGTATTTGTTGGTGAGCACTTAAGCTGTTTTGCTTTGCTCTGTGAATCATTGTTGCAGTGATAGTCTGTATGCATATGTCCAGTCATGTCCTGCCTCTGACTTCTCTAATGTATGTGTTACAGAGGACTGTTGGAGACTTGCCATAACATCCACCCCAGGCTTCTCCCTTGAGGACAGTAGTTCTAGACTCATTTGTTGAATGAATACAAAGGTATATCTCAGAGAAGGAGATCTTTTCATACTTCTTAAATAAAAGGAGGAAAGATCACCAGTGCTTTTATTTGCCAAATGTGGAGAGCCTTTTAAGATTGAGCACCCATTTGCTGGAAAAATCTACCACAACAAACCATTTAATCAGCTTGCCCCTCCCAGATCAGGAAGTGTGAATTGTGGAGGAGTGGAAGAGGGATAATTGCTGAACGGTTTGAAACTTCATGTAACTTGGGAATTTAAACTGTTTATACTTGGAATGTCCTTTATCTATTACTGTGTCACTAAGAGAATTAATAATCATTCTGCCAGATGACACAGAGGAAAGATCTTTAGGGCTGAAATCCAGGCACAGCAAAGGTGCACGCTTGGGTCCCAGTGGTGGTGAAGCAGTGGGTGCAGTATTGGGAGAATGGCTACAGGGGTAGGTAGGCTAGCTTACAGCTGTCTTACATGCCAGTCTGTGGAAGTTGGGCAGTATTGGAAGTTGGTGAGGGACCCCTTTCTATTCTTAATACGAAGTGTAACAAAAACATCCAAAGACATTTTGAAAGAGTCATTCATTTAGTAGTAGAGGCAAAATGAAGGAAATAGGAAAATGATAAAATAACATTTCACTGTAATTTTTTTCACCAGAATAGTAGAGGCTAATTTTTATATTAGTGCAAG